AGTGATCCCCTTACCCATTTCATGTCACATGGAAGCTGCAGAGCTAATGCCGAAATCTCACTTCTTATGTGAAGTACTGAGAATGTAAACTTAGAAAGAAAGGACTTTTGAGGAGCAGCAACCCTTCAACTTGTGGTCCAGAGCACTGAATTTCTGAAATCACGTGGCTGGAGAGCCTAGGCTGGCTTCCTACTGAGGAATATCTTCCTCTAAGAAACTTACTCTAGGGGCCTGGCCAAATAGCTCAGTGGATTAAAGAACCTGCAAGCAGTTGCAGGGGCCAGGGTTTTGGTTCCATCCAAGTGCCAGCTTGTCCCTGGGGCATGCTGAGATGGTAATTGAGACCGGATGTGGTGGCACACACGCCTTTAATCCCAGCTCTTGTGAGGCTGTAAATAGGCGGATCACTATGAGCCTGATGTAGTAGTGAGACCCTGAACACCCTGTAGACCCTTCCCTAAAATAAAAAAAAAAAAAGTTACTCCAGGGCACATTGATGTGTGCTTCTCCTCCCCCTCCTCTATCCTCCTCAGTTCTCACATTCTCATTCAGATCAGAAATAACCCGGCCAGAATATAGTACTCTTGGGTTCCGGTACAGGCATCAGGCATTTATTTCTTTATTTACATTTATTTGTTTGCTTGTTTTGAGTCAGTCTCTCTGTATAGTGAGGTCACCAGGCTGGTTTAAACTCAATATGTAGCCCAACCTGGCCTCTGATTACTGCCGTGGCCTCCTGAGGGCTGGGATGACAGGTACTGGCTGTCACACCCGGCTCAAGGAGCACAAATTCAAAGCAACCCAATGTCACTATCATTTCACTTGGATGATGCTTCTTTTATTACTACATATTATATTACTTACACTGTGTAATGGGTTGTATTGTGACATTTTCACACACACATATATAATGTTTTGATTCTGTTCACCCTCCCAATCCCCTTCTTTCCCCTTCCTTTCCTGATCCCCTTTACTGTCTGATCCCCTTCACTGTCTCTAATAGTCTACCTTCTACTTTCATGTCACCTTTTTGGGGTGGTGCTTCGTTAAACACACCAGCTCCACTATGTTAGACCTGAGCCCTCAAGAACAACTGAGACAACTGGTCCTCTAATGAGAGCTACAGCCTCAAGTGTTTTTTTCTTTTTCGAATTTTTTTTTCTGGAACCAGGGATTGAACTCAGGCCCTTGCACTTGCCAGGGAAGTGCTTATTCTACTGAGCCATCTTCCTGGCCATTACTTGCTTTTTTAAAATGAGCCCCATGTAAAAGAGACAAAATTTCTACTCAAACCTGAAAATGGAAAGAATTAAGTTGAGCCAGTGTTCATAATAGTATTCCACTGATCCTCTTCTCTTACATAACAAACTCTCACTTCATCATTACTGGGGAAGATGACAAGTGGTGAAGCTAAGAAGAGTTATTCACCACTAAGAACAAAGTAGTAAAGCTAGGTGTGGTGACATACTCCTGTAATCCCAACACTTGGAGGCTGAGGCAGGGGCATTGCTGTGAATTCAACACCAGGCTGGATGACACAGTGAATCCAAGGTCAATCTGAACTACATGGTGAGAACTTGTCCAAAGAAACAAAGAAAGAGAAAAAACAAGAAAGAGGGAAGGCTGTTCTTGCTTGTGTTCAGTAATGCCTTCTTGGGCCTGCCAAATAGCTCAGTGGATTAAAGTTCCTGCAAGCAGACACAGGGACCAGGGTTCAATCCCTGGGCCTGCCCTGCTGGCCCTACCCCCAGGGTGCACTGAGATGGCAATTGAGACTGGGCGTGGTGACACATGCCTGTAATCCCAGCTCTTGGGAGGCTGTAAATAGGCAGATCACTACGAGTCCAATCTAGTAGTGAGACCCTGAACACCGTGTAGACCCCTCCCTAAAAAAATACAAAAATATAAAAGGAATGCCTTCTTGATTTGAGAGGATGGCTCAAGTACCAGCTGCCATATTGAAAATGAAATCTAGAACACTTGTTCCCTCCTACCTGCCTCTTCCTCCCTGCCTAGAATCCAATGTATTTTATAGGAACTGTTGTGATCTGTTTTTCCTGGGTGTATGGTGGGCTAGTAGAGTTCTTTGCACTGAAGCTATCTTTTTTCATCTATCACTTTCAGGTTGGGGACAATGATGACTTGGGCACTGAAAGAACCCCAAGTAGCATCGCGTCTGGGGGACTCTCTCTTAGCAGAGACTTAGACAGTGGAGGCAGGGGCTTCTGGCCCCAACAGCCTCTCCAGGCTTCACCGGCAAGCACAATGGTCTGAGTTCAATCCCCGGTTCTGCCAAAAAAGAGAGAGAGAGAGAGAGAGAGAGAGAGAGAGAGAGAGAGAGAGAGAGAATGATATGTCTCTCCAGGAGGCAATGATAGAGCTGTGAATTCAGCCAATGGACATGAAGCCTCCTGCATGCAAGTTTGGAGGACTATTTAAAAAACCGTTATTTGCCGTAGCTGAGGAATATAGGAAAAAGAGATCTTTTAATCCTTGGGATCTTGCTTTGGACCTTTTCCATTTTTAAATGAAACCCTCTCCTTGAGCAATAATTATAGCATTTTTGAGGTAGTTGTGAGGACTCAGTGAGACAATCTGCTACTAAGTACTTTGTACAATGTCAGGTACATACTCAGCACTTACCGCACATTAGCAAACCTTACTATGACTTCAGTTGATGTTGATGCACATGTCTCTATTCAGACCTCTTCTTGGAGGGCTAATATCTAACTCCTTACTCAAGGACAGCTCCATATAGATGCAATTCAATTTCTAAAACTGTGCATTCAGAACAGAATTTCCTTCCAGCCCATTGAGTGCTTATAATCCACACTCCTGGTCTATGTGAGCAGTGCCGAGACCCATCTGCACTCGGGCCCATAACCTGGCAACTGTCACCAGGTGTTTCTAAATCGCTTTCAAATCTATTGTCTTTTCCTGCTTCAATCATAATACTAAGTTTTGCCTGGTACTGAAGATTGAGGGCTGATCTACATCTCCAGGCATTTTTATTTTCTTTAGTTGTAGACATAGTTTCAAGTTACCCAGGCTGGCCTCCAACTCAAGATCCTCATGCAGGTGTACAGCACCAAGCCCAGCATGCTTGCATCACTCTGCCCTTGTCCCACCCCCAGTGTACCATCCAGGCTGTTTCCAAGGCCACTCTTTGCATCCTGCAGATGCATTAGGACACTGGGTCACATCATCTCTCCACTTTAGGTCTTCCTTTTGCTGTACCATAGACCCGAGCAAAACCTGAATGCTGAGCATGTGATGTGCACAAGGATCCATAGTCTCCCCCTTGCCACACTCCCTGCACACAAGCTGAGCTGTATTTCTGCTGCGCTACATTGAGCACTCTGTTTCTTTGGCCTTCATGTCTGTGCATGCGTGTCCTTTAGGCCTGGCTTGTACAGCCCTTCTTTGTCACTGGACAGTACCCTATTTGTCTCTCAGGATTTAGCCCTGGTACCTCCATTTCCTGGAAACCTTCTCTAAGCCCCCAACTGAGTAGAATTCTTCCTCTTCTCTGCTGACTGAGTTCCTGGAGGGCAGTGAAATGTTTCTTTCCTCTGTGACCACCATGCTTTGGTGTCTGGCGCGTGCTCAAAGTAATACTACTCAAATGTTATTATTCGAATACATGGCATTGGTTCTATTAACATTTGCCATCAAAATATGCAGGAAGTTTTCTCTTTTGAGCTTAGGTTTTTTTTCAACTGTAAGATGGGATTAAAAATGCCCTTCATGTGGGGTGTGGTGGCAAACACCACCTGTAACCCCAGCACTCTGGAGGCTGAGTCAGGAGGGTCACAGTGAGTTCAAGGCCAGCCTGAAGTACACACAATTTAAAAAATGCTCTCTAATGTTGTGAGGAATAAATGAATGCAAAAGCTTTTTTGTAAACTGAATAATTGATGTACATGTGACATTATTATAGCAAATATCAATCCGTACTTTGTCTCCATGTACACAAGTTCATCCCTGCACTTAGTGTGTGTATGTTTTGTGTACACATGTTGTGCTTATGTTTCCGTATGGTTACATGGAATGGAAAGACAGTCTCCAAACAGCCCTCTCCACATTCCTGCCTCTAAAAGGCACTCTGAAATAGATTGATCATTGTTTTCTGATAACTTGTGCAGGTTCTGGGATAGAGGTTCTGTGAATCCATTACACGCACAGAGAGAGATATAGTGAGAGTTTATAAGTTTGGACAGTAAGAGCCCGTCCTATTTTCTTACTTTGTTACCTTGCTAAGAAAATACCAAAGGGATCCTCCCTCCAGTGTTTCATTTGACTTCCTCTCCAGTCCCCTGGAGTAGTTACCACATGCAAAAGCCTCCTTCTCCTCTTTTCCTGTGGGAACAAACCGAGGTTCAGGGACATCATTCAGGTTTCCCCTGACTCATAAATTAGAATTTCCTATTTCTGAATGATCTAAGCATTTTAGTACACTTAAAATTCTTCTTATTCTTTTTCTTCTTCTTCTTTGTGTGTGTGTGTGTGTGTGTGTGTGTGTGTGGCACCAGGGATTGAACTCAGGACCCTATGCTTGCCAGGCAGGCGTTTATCCTACTGAGCTATCTTCCTGGGCCCAGGGGCCTCATTTAGTCCCGCTTTTTTTAAGTCTCCAAGGAGTGGCGATGCGAGTCCGAGGACGCCTTTCTCCCGTCTTTCCTTTGCTAGCAGATCCTGAGGAGTTTGCGCAAAATACCCGGAGCTGGTCATCAGGAAGCGGCTCGGGGCTTCTTTATAATGCTCTAAGCGCCACAGTTGCCTTGGCCCTTTGGCCTTGCTTTAAACGCCACACCCGCTATGCTAACGTCACCAGCGAGGGCAGTTCCCCGCGCGTGAGTCCTCGAGGGCGAGGGCTTCACTTTCCGCAGCGCGGCCGCAGCCCCCGGCCCCGCCCGGGCTCTCAGCCGAGCGCGCACCGGCCCTCTCCAGCTTCCATCCTGTCTGTGTTCTCTTTTAAAAAGCCAGGTGGCGCCAACTCCCAAGCCCTGCCCGAGCTGAAGGATTTCCCGGCTTGCTCAGAGTGGGGCAAAGAGGCGGTTGGAAGCGCACGGCTCGCGCTTGGCGCTTTCTCTCGGCCGCCTCCGCCGCTCGGAAACCTTTGCGTTCTCTGCGCCGCTCGCAGGATGACGGCAACTCTAAAGGCAAGCGGAGTGTCCTGTGTGCCACATGGAGCTTGGGGAAAGGAAATGATTAAAGCCGTGAGGTTTCCTGGCTCTTCGCGGTGTTTACGGTGGGTTTTGATTTGGGATGAGAGCGAGGAGAGGTTAAGGCCGGTTCCAATCTACCAGCATCCTGAAGCTGTCTGGGCTGCAGATGACAAGTGGGGCCGGGTGGGCACGCGCGCTTCGGGGCGCTCATTCCTGCGGACGCAGGAGCCTGTCTCCGTGTGCCATGCGTGCTGGTTCTTCCTAAACTGTGCATGTTTTTAAGGCAGCAGAAATCCTCTGAGCTGTAAAGCAGGGCTGTAAGGCGCTTTCATATGACAGTTAAGGGTCTGAATCTATTATAGACGACACACGTTTCCGTTCCCCCCCCTTCTTAATCTTTTGAAATGTTTCCAATCTCCCAATTATTGTAATTTTAACAGGGAGAGGGGAGAAACCCTATCATTGTACAATTATATTAACTTGATTTAAACCAAACTCAAGGAAATGAAAATACTGAAACTTGGAAAATAAGTGCTAATCTGCTCCTGAAAATTTGGCCATCATATGTGCTGCTGTTGCAAATCATCACCAAATCTGAAGTTAAGATGAATTTAATAGAAGTTATTTTAAAGATTCATTGGAAAGCTAAGCGAGGAGAGTTGCTATTATGGCTTATAATTTTAAGATTTTAATTGAAATGACAGTAACACATACCCAAACACGTAGAGCACTCAACAACATTAGTAATGAAGACAATATGCTATTAATGCTGCTTTTTAATAGTATTGGCGGTGTGTTTATTACAGTGTGTAAGTGAGAGTGGTTTTTCAAACGGCAGGTTGCCAGCCATTAATAATTCAATGAAATCAACAATGGAAGATTTGACTAGCATTTCTATAAGAAAAGAAGAATAGATAATATCAGAAGAATAAAAAAATTTCATAAATCTTTTCTCCCTATTGTTTGTGGGCATTGGGTTGCAATGTGGAATGTATTTCCTATAGGTGATTAGAAGACTATGAAAGCTGTGGTTTAGAAAATTCCCTGTTTCTCTAACAAGGCTCCCATCAGTCTTAGGCTCTTGGGGTTTAGGGCATGAGGCGGAGGGCCTGGCTGCCCTCTGTGGCTCTGCCCTGAGCTGCAGCAGTAGGTCTGAGCCCTTGGCAGTCCTGACACTGAGCGTGGCCTTCAGTGGAAACGAGAGTGGCAGGTGGGTACGCAGCTTTCAAAATTTTAACCCAGCTTTCCCGACCATGAAAGTAGCACTGGAGACATGTCAGGCTTCCAGCCCTGGAAGAGGCCTTGGAAGAAAGAATGGCACGGGGTCCCAAGAGAGCACTGATAGCTGCAGTGGGAAGATGCATTAGACTGGGAACTGTGGAGCTGATGCTGAAGCAGAAGGCGCTTATTTAAGCTATAAATGGAAGACAGGACCAAGGGGCCTGAAGTAAGTTTTGTACAGGAGACCATTATCTTAATTGGGGTAAGTAGCACAGGCATAAGCTGAAGCGTGGAGAGTGATTTAGGGACTTTGGGAGCAGAATAGAGAGTAACTTGTGCAGGTTTCTCCTCTTACCTCTCTGCCCAGTGTCTAAGAAAAAGCAGATACTTTTTTTTTTAAACTGTTCAAGTTTTAGGACACTGATTAAATGATGTTTCCTAGAAAGGAGGGTATTCTCCTGATAAGTAGACCTCCTGGAGCCTGTCCTCAGAAATATCAGCCATGTCCCATTTATTTTTCCATTCTGAGTGGTAAGATGGAATAGCTGAGTCAAGGCCTTGCTGGCGAGTGGCTTTCCTTGTTTCTCTTCATGTAAAAGCATACTGGACAGAGCTTTAGGGTTCCAGTCAGGCAAATGGAAAGGAGACTTAGATATAGATTTGAGGGGAGATGGACCCAACTGTTCTAATCAGCTTTACTAGAGCTCTGAGATATTATAGTGGTTTTGACCTCTAGCAATCAAGCTGGGATTGTTTTCCATATTTTGTCATGCCAGAAATTTATTATTCTAAAGTCAGGCACCGGAATCACCTGGAGAGCTTGCTAAAAGGCGAACACTGGGCTGCGTCCCCCAATATCTGACTCACCAAGGTCTGAGTGGGGCTTGAGAATCTGTGTTGCCAACAAGTGCCCAAGTGGTGCTGACCCTGGCTCAGGGATCAGACTTTCGAGAATGACTGCTCTGTGACCTCTGAGAAGTATGCAGAATGGCAGAGTGACAGTGCTCCTAAATTCTTCAGCAGTGCCCTCCCTCCCCCAGCCAAACCCTTAGCTCAAGGCTGCCTGCCAGCAGGCAATATCCTCTGAAAACTTTGGTGGAAGAGGTTTCCAGAGGGATTTAGAGTAGAACTGTATCACTCTGTGTATCTGAAAGAACATGCCAGAAATAGAAATATTAATACATTATAAACATGTTATGCTGGGGCTTATTTTTATTCTTGCATGTTTTAAAGCCTAAGGGGAACCATTTAAGTGATCAATCAAAGCTCTGAAATAAAAGTTGAAGCAATGGTAAAGCTGTTATTATTAACTGGAGGTAACATTTAGTGCTTCGCTGCAATAGGGCAGCTATTGCATATTAAGTGGGAATTTGTTGCCTGAACATTAATGTGACTGTCCTTCTGCCCAGACATCTCCGGCTCCCCGGGCCAGACTGCTGGTGAAGTGATGGCCGTGGCCTTCCACCCTCCCTTGCTGCACTCCTGGGCCTCAGGCAAGCGGGGTTGTTTTGGAATGCAGCAGTCTTACTGAAGCGATTCTGAATGTGAAACAAGCAAGAAAATCACCTAAAGTGACCTGAGAAATTAGTCTGGTGAAAAGCTGGTGGCCATTCCAGGGCTATTTTTAAAAGGACAGATTTGTTTTCTTTGACACTTTGGGAATGATTTAATGAAATATAGTAATGTCAAAGGAATTATCCAGTTTGTTTGATGTCCTCTAGCCTGGGATATCTAAACTGAAAACTTGCAAATGAGCATCTTTATTGGTGAAAATTTGTTGCAAAATTTGGCATAGACCGTTTTGAAGTCAGACTTGTAGGCGCTAGTGCGGAACTAGCAAGATTGAAAGCATTTTTTTTGTTGATTTAATGACATTTTTTTCCTTATTGTCCCCATAACCACCTGCTTTATGAACTGTAGCTAGGGCTGATGTTGCAACTGGTAATTTTCTTAGAACCCAAATTCATTTATATTTTTTCTCTCTTTGATTTCCATCACTTCTGGGAATTGTTAGATGGAATAAAAAGAATAAATTATAAACAATTCGAAACACCAAAAACAAAATTCCTTGGGCCTTTTACAGATACCACACATGCAAATAAATATGGCTTTGCATTCCAATGACATCTGAGCAGGGATTAAAATTTCCTCATTAACCTCTTTCTTAACCAGCCAATACTGTTTTTTCAAGCATGTTTTATCTAAATCACATTTGACATTTTGAATTAATTCACACTGACTCAAACTCAAATCAAATGAAAATGTAAATATCTTTGTTTTTTTTTTTTTTGGTGGCCAGCTCAGCCAGGGTGGGGCTGGCACAGCATGTGGTGCCAGGGATCCAACAGAGGTCCCTGTGCTTTGCCTAAGCAGACTGACTGCTGAGCTACCTCACCAGCCCATAAATATCTTCTTTTGATCCCAACATTTGTGCAATCCCAGTTATATTATACCCAAGCAGGAGCATCTACTATTGTTGGAGAAAATCAGATTAATTGATTTTCTTGTTTGCAGATCCAAAACCAAAGCCAGAAACAATTAAAAGTGGTAAATACGTTTTTTTTCCTGTACTCCTGAGGAAAGAAGTAGAAAGAACAATCAATAATGTACACCCAGCAAGGAACATGATCACCAGCCTCATGTCAAGCCACTTATAGAAAAGATACTTATTCCTAGATGAAACACCAATCTGTTTTCAATAAATGATTATCAATAATTCCTCTACTAATATATGGACTCCAATTTTTTTTTTTCTATTGGCGGAACTGGGGATTGAACTCAGGCCCTTGCACTCACCAGGCAAGCGCTTATTCTACCGAGCTATCTCCCCGGCCCCAAAGGTTGTATGTGCAGTTGCCTTGTTTGTTTTTGGTCTTTTTTTATTTTACCGTATTTTTTTGGTTGAATTGTTTTTTAGGGGAGGTTTCTTTTTTGTTTTTGTTGCTGAGGAATGAATCCAGGGCTTCCAGCTTGCTAGGCAAGCATTCTACTGCTGAGCTGAATCCCCAGCCCCCAAAATTCCTTTTACTTTTTTTTTTTTTTTTTTCTTTTGGGAAGGGTCTACTGGGTGTCCTGGGTCTCACTACTAGATTGGACTCATAGTGATCGCCCTGTTTACAGCCTCCCAAGAGCTAGGATTACAGGCGCACACCACCACACCCAGTCTTGGACTCCAATTTGAAGCAATAGGAATCTTCTTGTTTCTACAAAATGTCAACAAGTTTGTTTAGAAAGGCTATAATTTTAGTGGGTATAACTCAGTGGTAGAAGGCACAGGTTGCATGCACAAGGCCCTGGGTTCAGTCATCCCTCATCCCCAGCACAATAAATAAACAAGTAAAAGAAAACAAAAAAGAACAACTACAGATTTGGTAGGAGGAGAAGTGTAACCTGATTGTTTTTAAAATTTCTATAACCACTTATATGTGAAACTATGATTTTTGCCCTCTTACAGAGCAAAAGCACATGTTATTTTCAGTGTTCAGGTTTGATGGTAGAAGATAAAATATTTGCATGTAATTAGACAATGCCTGTCTCTATGTAAAATGAACAAAGCATTAAAATATTACTTGCTAATAAAGTTAAGCCCACCCACTTTAGGAATCCCTGTATCACCTGCCTTCGCTCAGCTGTTAGCTTTGTCTCATTCTGTCAAGTATTCTTTTTCCTTCTACCATCTTCTTGTACATTTTTTTAAACGCTAGAATCCTAGCTCAAGATGGCATGACTTGAAGAGAGGACCAACACCAGTTTCCTGAGGGTACCACAGTTTCAAAACACACTCTTTAATGTTATTTGACACCAATTTTCTACATGTGCTTTCTACTGAGTGTTTGTCAGATGAAACCATATTGCAAAACATTTGCAGAGCTAAATTATTGACAAAATGCTTGTGATTCCAAAAGAATCTGCTTGATTGAAAGCAGTTGCAGTGCTTCAGTGTCAGAACGTTGCTTCCCCTTTCTGGTGGCGTCTTTGGAGATTCCTCTAGACTGTACCTCTGGAGTTCTTCTGTCCCTGAATAGCAGTTTCTCCACAGTTAACTCAGAGCAGATTAGAGCTAGAGCTTTTCAAAATTCCACTTCTAGCATTTTGTTCTTTGAGTAAGTTTCAAGACATCCATCCTCATTTTCCTACATAGTGACTTCTAATTCATACAAAGCTGCTTTCTTCCTGCATGCTGACAATGTCCACCACCTGCAAAGCTGCATCATCGTCTCCGCATTTGCTGGTGGCTGCTAA